TTTTTTTGTCATTCTTGTTCTGCAATTTTAAAAAATGAATTTGCTTGTATTATTTATGGAAATATTTCTATATTTATCTGTTTGATAACAAGACTATGTAATATATACATATAAATATATACTGCAATATATAAAACAAAAATACATAAACAACTATAATATAAGCAACTTTAAATGTAATAAACAAATACAAAATATAATTTGTATTTATAGTTCTGCAGTATCTTTAAAAAAAGTATTTGCTTGTGTTACTTATGGAAGCATTTCTATAATAGGCTATAATACAATATGTCTGATAACAAAACTATATAATATAAAAACATAAATATTAAAATTTAAAATATAATGTAATATCAAATATAAAAATACAAATAAATATAATAATAATATAAAATATAATGCAATATATAAAATATAAAAATAATATAAAATATAATGTATAAAATATAAAATATATTTATAGTCCATGTTCTGCAGTGACTTGATAATATAGTATAATATAACAATATAATAATAAATAATAATGTAATATAAAAATATATAAACAAAGTAAATATAATATAATCATATGAAATGTTACACCATATTTATAAGTCATTCTTGTTCTGCAGTTAACATAAAAAAAGATTTTGATGATGCTGCCTACCCCATTATACCCTCATTAGGATGCTAATTTTAAAATGTACACAAATAATCACCATTCGTAATTCATAACAGAAAATGAACAGGTATAAGAGGAAACAAACGCTCATATACGGCTTCACTTGTCAACCATCACAATCACATATAAAACCAGTTCTGCGAGCTCCCCACGATGCTTTGCATTTCTAGTGAAATTCGAGGCAATAAAACCCCTTACAAGCAGGACACTATTCATAGCCCGTCGTTATGAAATGCAATAATCCATATCGGCTTTAATGGATTTGAACTATGAAGGGCTCACAGCTTGACACCCCATCGCTGCGGCTCCTAAAGATCTTTAACTCAATGAAAATGGATTATATTCCTGTTTTCCTGAGCCTAGACATTAGCAGCGTCACACACTCGCAATAAATGGCAAATCATCGAGATGAGCCCTAGTTAGTGGATATGATCTAACACCCTTTGATCGCTGGAAACAGATGAACAAATATGGCACTGCTGAACCAGCGAATATAAAGCATTTTTAGCATTTGATGATCAAAACCCCTTTATGAATGCAACTCGCTATGAAGGCAGCTGCCTATAATGCTGTCTAAGTAGTAAGTAGGCTATGATTTCAGACTATAACGCCCAATAATGCCTTCTACAGGTAGACAGCTTACTAAGACTCATAAATGCTGTCTTGTAAAACAGCACACAGATCTTGATACTATGAGGTCTAAAAATGACGTCTAGATAGGCAGCTTGGTTTTGAGACTATGATGCCCAAAATGCTGTCTAGGTAGGCAGCTCACGATGCCCAAAAATGTTGTCTAGAGGCAGCTTACTTGGTTTTGAGATGATGATACTGAAAATATTCTCTAGGTAGGCTAGATTTTAATGGCCAAAAAATGTTGTCTAGGTAAACAGACCGCTACAATTTCATAATATGAAGTCCGAAAATGATGTCTAGAAAGGTAACTCAAAATCAAAATCTAATTATTAGGTTTTGAGACTATGATACCCAATAATGGCTTCTTGGTAAACAAACCACTACATTTTGATACTACAAAGTCGAAAAATGATGTCTAGATAGAGAGCCTACCAGGTTTTGAGACTATAATGCCAAAAACACTGTCTAGGTAGGCAGCTCATTAGGTTTTGGTACTACAAGGTCCAAAAATTATGTCTAGGTTACTAGATTTTGAGACTATGATGGCCAAAACTGTTGTCTAGGTAAATAGTAAAATAGGTTTTGATACTACAAGGTCCAAATATTATGTCTAGAGGCAGCTTACTTGGTTTTGAGATGATGATACTGAAAATATTATTGTCTAAGTAGGCTAGATTTTAATGACCAAAAAATGTTTTCTAGGTAAACAGACCACTACATTTTCTTACTATGAGGTCCAAAAAATGCTGTCTAGGAAGCCCACTAGATTTTGAGACTATGGTGCTCAAAATGCTGTCTAGGTAGGCATCTTGGTAGGTTTTGAGACTATGATTGCCAATAATGGCTTCTAGGTAGAAAGCACACTACAAGAGTATGATACCCATAAATGCTGTCTAGGTAAACAGCAGGTACTACAAGGTCCAAAATTGATGTCTAGATACAGCAGGTAGCTTACTAGTTTTGAAACTATGTTTCTCAAAATGCTGCCTAGGTAGGCAGCTTACTAGGTTTTGGTACTACAAGGTCCAAAAATGATGTCTATATAGATTACTAGATTTTGAGACTATGATGGCCAAAATTGTTGTCTAGGTACAAAGTCTACAAGATTTTGATGCTGCAAGGTCCAAAAAAGATATTTAGCTAGCTAGGCAGTTCACTAGGTTTTGAGTAGTGGTCGACTGATATATCGCCATGGCCGATATTTGGCATTTTTCAAATATTGGCATCGGCCGATAAGTTTTTCTGTTTGGCCGATGCGTTCGTATTTTGACAGCGCACCGGACTTTTATTTTGATGACGCTGAGTGCGGCAGTGCCTGAGCACACAGTGCTCACATTCTCCCTCTTGTTCGCTGTCATCGTTCAGTTCTGTCTAATACGGATAGAAGTCGGTCTAATAATGGCCCTGCCCACACTACCAAAAGCACCAAAAGTTGGTTAAATGACCATGGTGTTGGTGTGCTTGACTGGCCAGCAAACTCACCAGACCTGAACCCCATAGAGAATCTATGGGGTATTGTCAAGAGGAAAATGAGAAACAAGAGACCAAAAAATGCAGATGAGCTGAAGGCCACTGTCAAAGAAACCTGGGCTTCCATACCACCTCAGCAGTGCCACAAACTGATCACCTCCATGCCACGCCGAACTGAGGCAGTAATTAAAGCAAAAGGAGCCCCTACCAAGTATTGAGTACATGTACAGTAAATGAACATACTTTCCAGAAGGCCAACAATTCACTAAAAATGTTTTTTTTATTGGTCTTATGAAGTATTCTAATTTGTTGAGATAGTGAATTGGTGGGTTTTTGTTAAATGTGAGCCAAAATCATCACAATTAAAAGAACCAAAGACTTAAACTACTTCAGTCTGTGTGCAATGAATTTATTTAATACACGAGTTTCACAATTTGAGTTGAATTACTGAAATAAATGAACTTTTCCACGACATTCTAATTTATTGAGATGCACCTGTATATGCTGCTGTCTAGGTAGGCAGCTTACTAGGTTTTGAGACTACAATTCTCAAAATGTTGTCCAAGAAGTTTGTCTAGCTGAACTGTCCACAGTGTTTTGACATTATAAGGTCTAAAAATGATGTCTAGATAGGCAGCTCACTAGGTTTTGAAACTGTGATGCCCAAAAAGGTTGTCTAGGTAGAAAGCACAATAAAGTTTAAGAGTATATTGCCCATAAATGCTGTCTAGCTAAACAGCGTGTTAGATTTTGATACTATGAGGTCTAAAAATGATTTCTAGATAGGCAGCTCACTAGGTTGAGAGGCTATGATGCCCAAAATTGACTTTAGGTAGACAGCTCACTAGATTGTAGGCCTATAATGCCCATATAAATGCTGTCTAGGTAAACAGTCCACTAGATTCTGATACCATTAGGTCCAAAATGATTTCTAGACAGGCAGCTCACTAGGTTTGAACACAAAAAAATGATGTCTGCATAGACAGTATACTCAGTTTTGAGACACAGGCGTGCATTTAAAAAACTGACATTCACATTAATGTACAGCACAGCATATAAAAGACTCATGCAATAGTCTAATTGCGTTCATCTCCTGTGTGCACTATTAGTGTATTAGTGCACTAGGATTGACTAAATATTTAAATAAATAGCTCCAGTGAGCATATGATTGCCAGAACGCTGTCAACGTAGTCAGCTCACAAGGTTTTGAGCTTATTGAGTATGTCTACCGCTTTTATTTTGACTGACATTCATATTCATATGCACTGAATACACGCATGATGTTGCACTCATTGGTAAGAGTCGCTGCATGCATGCAAAGCGCATTTTGTGTGTTGCTGTAGGATTGCATCGATCACATGAATGCACCGGAGAGATTCATATATCTAACGTTAATTAAACAAAGACAAACCCAAGAATCTGGAGCAGGACAGTCGTGAAACCCAGATCCAGCCTGAGCTGATGCACAGAGAGCCGCTGAACAAAGACAAACCCAGCGGAACCGCATCGAAAGCGCACCGCATTTCTGCGTCAAACGCGTCTTACCTGCGCGTTTTATCGCTGCTGACGCTCGCCTCCGTGGCTCTGCATTTCCCCGGCGCAGCTCCGTCCGCGAACGCAGAAATCAACTGTGGTTTCGCTCGTAAATCCGCTTGAAGGCTCCCGTTGTCGTTTAACGCGAGGAGAGACGCGCGCGCGGTCATTAATGTCAGGGAAGCGCGCCGCTGTGTGCGATAATCACTGTGAACGCGCAGTGAGGGGCGGGGGCGCGCGCGAGTGTCAGTCAGATCATGTGTTTAGTTCATCACTCTTTCAGTATATTGTCTCTCTATCTCTCTATCTGTCTGTCTCTCTATCTCTCTATCTATCTATCTATCTCTCTATCTATCTGTCTCTCTATCTCTTTATCTATCTATCTATCTATCTGTCTGTCTGTCTGTCTGTCTCTCTATCTCTCTATCTATCTATCTATCTCTCTATCTATCTATCTATCTCTCTATCTATCTATCTATCTCTCTATCTATCTATCTATCTCTCTATCTATCTATCTATCTCTCTATCTATCTATCTATCTCTCTATCTATCTATCTATCTCTCTATCTATCTATCTATCTCTCTATCTATCTATCTATCTCTCTATCTATCTATCTATCTCTCTATCTATCTATCTATCTCTCTATCTATCTATCTATCTCTCTATCTATCTATCTATCTCTCTATCTATCTATCTATCTCTCTATCTATCTATCTATCTCTCTATCTATCTATCTATCTCTCTATCTATCTATCTATCTCTCTATCTATCTATCTATCTCTCTATCTATCTATCTATCTCTCTATCTATCTATCTATCTCTCTATCTATCTATCTATCTCTCTATCTATCTATCTATCTCTCTATCTATCTATCTATCTCTCTATCTATCTATCTATCTCTCTATCTATCTATCTATCTCTCTATCTATCTATCTATCTCTCTATCTATCTATCTATCTCTCTATCTATCTATCTATCTCTCTATCTATCTATCTATCTCTCTATCTATCTATCTATCTCTCTATCTATCTATCTATCTCTCTATCTATCTATCTATCTCTCTATCTATCTATCTATCTCTCTATCTATCTATCTATCTCTCTATCTATCTATCTATCTCTCTATCTATCTATCTATCTCTCTATCTATCTATCTATCTCTCTATCTATCTATCTATCTCTCTATCTATCTATCTATCTCTCTATCTATCTATCTATCTCTCTATCTATCTATCTATCTCTCTATCTATCTATCTATCTCTCTATCTATCTATCTATCTCTCTATCTATCTATCTATCTCTCTATCTATCTATCTATCTCTCTATCTATCTATCTATCTCTCTATCTATCTATCTATCTCTCTATCTATCTATCTATCTCTCTATCTATCTATCTATCTCTCTATCTATCTATCTATCTCTCTATCTATCTATCTATCTCTCTATCTATCTATCTATCTCTCTATCTATCTATCTATCTCTCTATCTATCTATCTATCTCTCTATCTATCTATCTATCTCTCTATCTATCTATCTATCTCTCTATCTATCTATCTATCTCTCTATCTATCTATCTATCTCTCTATCTATCTATCTATCTCTCTATCTATCTATCTATCTCTCTATCTATCTATCTATCTCTCTATCTATCTATCTATCTCTCTATCTATCTATCTATCTCTCTATCTATCTATCTATCTCTCTATCTATCTATCTATCTCTCTATCTATCTATCTATCTCTCTATCTATCTATCTATCTCTCTATCTATCTATCTATCTCTCTATCTATCTATCTATCTCTCTATCTATCTATCTATCTCTCTATCTATCTATCTATCTCTCTATCTATCTATCTATCTCTCTATCTATCTATCTATCTCTCTATCTATCTATCTATCTCTCTATCTATCTATCTATCTCTCTATCTATCTATCTATCTCTCTATCTATCTATCTATCTCTCTATCTATCTATCTATCTCTCTATCTATCTATCTATCTCTCTATCTATCTATCTATCTCTCTATCTATCTATCTATCTCTCTATCTATCTATCTATCTCTCTATCTATCTATCTATCTCTCTATCTATCTATCTATCTCTCTATCTATCTATCTATCTCTCTATCTATCTATCTATCTCTCTATCTATCTATCTATCTCTCTATCTATCTATCTATCTCTCTATCTATCTATCTATCTCTCTATCTATCTATCTATCTCTCTATCTATCTATCTATCTCTCTATCTATCTATCTATCTCTCTATCTATCTATCTATCTCTCTATCTATCTATCTATCTCTCTATCTATCTATCTATCTCTCTATCTATCTATCTATCTCTCTATCTATCTATCTATCTCTCTATCTATCTATCTATCTCTCTATCTATCTATCTATCTCTCTATCTATCTATCTATCTCTCTATCTATCTATCTATCTCTCTATCTATCTATCTATCTCTCTATCTATCTATCTATCTCTCTATCTATCTATCTATCTCTCTATCTATCTATCTATCTCTCTATCTATCTATCTATCTCTCTATCTATCTATCTATCTCTCTATCTATCTATCTATCTCTCTATCTATCTATCTATCTCTCTATCTATCTATCTATCTCTCTATCTATCTATCTATCTCTCTATCTATCTATCTATCTCTCTATCTATCTATCTATCTCTCTATCTATCTATCTATCTCTCTATCTATCTATCTATCTCTCTATCTATCTATCTATCTCTCTATCTATCTATCTATCTCTCTATCTATCTATCTATCTCTCTATCTATCTATCTATCTCTCTATCTATCTATCTATCTCTCTATCTATCTATCTATCTCTCTATCTATCTATCTATCTCTCTATCTATCTATCTATCTCTCTATCTATCTATCTATCTCTCTATCTATCTATCTATCTCTCTATCTATCTATCTATCTCTCTATCTATCTATCTATCTCTCTATCTATCTATCTATCTCTCTATCTATCTATCTATCTCTCTATCTATCTATCTATCTCTCTATCTATCTATCTATCTCTCTATCTATCTATCTATCTCTCTATCTATCTATCTATCTCTCTATCTATCTATCTATCTCTCTATCTATCTATCTATCTCTCTATCTATCTATCTATCTCTCTATCTATCTATCTATCTCTCTATCTATCTATCTATCTCTCTATCTATCTATCTATCTCTCTATCTATCTATCTATCTCTCTATCTATCTATCTATCTCTCTATCTATCTATCTATCTCTCTATCTATCTATCTATCTCTCTATCTATCTATCTATCTCTCTATCTATCTATCTATCTCTCTATCTATCTATCTATCTCTCTATCTATCTATCTATCTCTCTATCTATCTATCTATCTCTCTATCTATCTATCTATCTCTCTATCTATCTATCTATCTCTCTATCTATCTATCTATCTCTCTATCTATCTATCTATCTCTCTATCTATCTATCTATCTCTCTATCTATCTATCTATCTCTCTATCTATCTATCTATCTCTCTATCTATCTATCTATCTCTCTATCTATCTATCTATCTCTCTATCTATCTATCTATCTCTCTATCTATCTATCTATCTCTCTATCTATCTATCTATCTCTCTATCTATCTATCTATCTCTCTATCTATCTATCTATCTCTCTATCTATCTATCTATCTCTCTATCTATCTATCTATCTCTCTATCTATCTATCTATCTCTCTATCTATCTATCTATCTCTCTATCTATCTATCTATCTCTCTATCTATCTATCTATCTCTCTATCTATCTATCTATCTCTCTATCTATCTATCTATCTCTCTATCTATCTATCTATCTCTCTATCTATCTATCTATCTCTCTATCTATCTATCTATCTCTCTATCTATCTATCTATCTCTCTATCTATCTATCTATCTCTCTATCTATCTATCTATCTCTCTATCTATCTATCTATCTCTCTATCTATCTATCTATCTCTCTATCTATCTATCTATCTCTCTATCTATCTATCTATCTCTCTATCTATCTATCTATCTCTCTATCTATCTATCTATCTCTCTATCTATCTATCTATCTCTCTATCTATCTATCTATCTCTCTATCTATCTATCTATCTCTCTATCTATCTATCTATCTCTCTATCTATCTATCTATCTCTCTATCTATCTATCTATCTCTCTATCTATCTATCTATCTCTCTATCTATCTATCTATCTCTCTATCTATCTATCTATCTCTCTATCTATCTATCTATCTCTCTATCTATCTATCTATCTCTCTATCTATCTATCTATCTCTCTATCTATCTATCTATCTCTCTATCTATCTATCTGTCTGTCTGTCTGTCTATCTATCTATCTATCATTGTCTCTATCATTCTTTCTATTATTCAGTCTATCTACCTATCTATCTCTCTATCTGTCCATCTATCTATCTATCTATCTATCATTCTTTCATCTATCTATATATCTATCTATCTATCTATCTGTCTGTCTGTCTGTCTGTCTATCTATCTATCTATATATCTCTGTCTATATATATATACAGTTATGACATAAAGACCCTGATATATATATCCAGTTATGACATATAGACCCTGATATAAGCTTAAATTGTTGTGATTGTCTGTTTAAGGTGACAAGAATAACTCTATCGATATAACACTCTAAAAATTAATGTCATTGCATTAAATTACAAAACATCAAAGTAGAAAATTGTATTAAAGAGTAGAGAATTGTATTAAAATACAATTTATTGCTATTCAAATTCATATGTATGAATGTGGAATATGTTCATGTTCAGGTGGTTATTCTGCTCTGACACCTGTGTGAACTTGAGGAGAATTGACTTCAGACATCCAACTAAAAATAACCATGGGACAAGTTGGGAAAAGTAATTAAAACAATGGCTCAGTCTGTCTGTCTGTCTGTCTGTCTGTCTGTCTATCTATCTATCATTCTCTCTATCATTCTTTCTAGTATTCAGTCTATCTTCTATCCGTCTGTCTGTCTGTCTGTCTATCTATCTATCTATCTATCTACCTGTCTGTCTATCTATCTATCATTCTCTCCTATCTATCTATCTGTCTGTCTATCTATCTATCTATCTATCTATCTATCGATCTCTCTGTCTGTCTGTCTGTCTATCATTCTTTCTATTATTCAGTGTATCTATCCATCTATCTATCTATCTATCACTGTCT